CTCATTCTCGTCCTCCTCTTCTGCCTCATTCTGCACTCCGTCCTCGTCTTCCTCCTCCTGGCCAAAATTAGGCTGCTCCTGTTCTCAGGAGAGCCCAGAATCGAATCGATAAGTCGGATCGGCAATCGAAATGAATCGGATCGGCGGAAATAGGTAACCAAGTCGGGAAAAGTCGAATCGGCGGACATCGGCAGGCAAGTGTGCCTCCAATGAGAAATCGAATCCCAAATCGAAATCCCAAGTCGAATCGAATCGATATCGGAAACCATCGAAGTCGAATAGAATCGAATCGGAAGAATCGAAACCCGCCCTGTGTTCCCCCCTGTTCTCTCATACCCGGCGAACTCCCTGCCCGCCGCAGTCCCACCACGCCGCCGGCCGGGGGCATAGAAGGGCCACGCCAGGGAGAGGGAAGGCATGGCGCTCTCACCTCTTACGCAACCTCAGCATGATTATGAGCCGTCGTGTTGTTGGTGCTCGTACTCTGCATCTTCAGACTCATCATCATCATCATCATCATCATCATCATCATCATCATCATCATCATCATCATCATCATCATCATCATCATCATCATCATCATCAGCATCAGCATCATCATCATCATCATCATCATCATCATCATCATCATCATCATCATCATCATCATCATCATCATCATCATCATCATCATCATCATCATCATCATCATCATCATCATCATCATCATCATCGTCAGCATCATCATCATCATCATCATCATCAACAGCAGCAACATCAGCATCATCATCATCAGCAGCAGCAGCATCAGCATCAGCATCAGCATCATCATCAGCATCATCATCATCAGCATCATCAGCAACATCATCGTCGTCATCATCATCAGCAGCATTAGCATCAGCATCATCATGATCGTCGTGGTCGTAGGCGTCGCCGTCGGCATCGCATCATCATCGTCATCAACATGGTCAGCATCATCAGCATCGCCACCATCAGCAATAGTACCATCAGCATCATTAGCATTACCGTCGTGATCATCATCATCCTCATCATACGAATCATTGTAAGCACCATCATCATCACCATCATCATCACCATCGTCGTCATCATCATAAACATAATGGCCAGCACAAGAATAATCATGGACATCATCATCATCATCATCATCATCATCATCATCATCATCATCATCATCATCATCATCATCATCACCGGCAGCAGCATCAGCATCGTCATCATCATTGTCATCACCACCACCACCACCATCAGCTTAATGATCACCATCGCCATCACCATAATCAAACAACTTCAGATTCCTTCTATGACTATTCATCGCATTACCTCATCTTCACGTCCTCCTCCTCCTCCTCCTCTTCCTCCTCCTCCTCCTCCTTCCCCTCCTCCTGCCCCTCCCCCTCCTCCTCCTCCTCCTCCTCCTCCTCCTCCTCCTCCTCCTCCTCCTCCTCCTCCTTCTCCTCCTCCTCCTCCTCCCTCCGCCTCCTCCTCCTCCCGCCTCCTCCGCCTCCTCCTCCTCCTCCTCGTCCTCCCCTCCTCCTCCTCCTCCTCCTCCTCCTCCTCTTCTCCCTCCTCCTCCTCCGCCTCCTCCGCCTCTTCCTCCTCCTCCTCATTCTCCTCCTCCTCCTCCTCCTCATCCTCCTCCTCCTCTTCATCCTCCTCCTCCTCCTCCTCCTTCGCCTCCTCCTCCTCCTCCGCCTCCTCCTCTCCCTCCTCCTCCTCCTCCTCCTCCGCCTCCTCCTCCACCTCCTCCTCCTCCTTCTCCTCCTCCTCCTCCTCCTCTTGCTGGCCGCGGGGATGGCGCCGTGCGGCCTCGCAAACCATGCATGGGCGACGCGAGAGGTCGACACCCAGATATATCCTGCGACATTGCTTGTTCGATCCCCAACCCCCTGTCCCTCTTCCATGTCTGCCTCTTCTCCTCCTCCTCCTCCTCCTACTCCTTCTCTTCATCCTCCTCCTCATCAGCATCATCAGCAGCAGCATCATCATCACCAGCATCATCATCATCCTCCTCATCATCATCAGCAGCATCAGCATCATCAACAGCAGCAGCATCATCACCATCACCATCATCATCGTCATCATCATCGGCAGCAGCAGCACCAGCATCATCATCCTCATCATCAGCAGAAACCGCATCAGCATCAGCATCAGCATCAGCATCAGCATCATCATCCTCATCAGCGTCATCATCAGCATCATCATCAGCATCATCAGCAGCATCAGCATCATCATCATCATCATCATCACCACCACCACCATCAGCATCATCAGCATCAGCATCAGCATCAGCATCAGCATCATCATCAGCATCCTCCTCCTCCTCCTCATCATCAGCAGCAGCATCATCATCTGCCTCCTCCTCCTCGTCCTCCTCCTCCTCCTCCTCCTCCTCCTCCTCCTCCTCCTCGGTATCTTCATCAATCGCAGAAAATGCATGGGCGACGCGCGCCGCCGACACCGAGAGAGGTATCCTCCGAGATAGTGTTTCTTCGATACCCGCGGCCACAGAGCTCCAGACCCCGTCCACAGACGCCTCCTGGATGAGGTCCGAGAAGATGGGGTCGGAGGATCGCGCCGCATCGCCAACGCATGGGCGCGATGCATCGGCGACGTCGGCGACGAGAAGACCGGGCTCCACATCGAGCCGCATCGGCGATGCCTCGGCGATGCAGCGCGATCCTCCGACCCCGTCTACTCGGACCCGCTCTGGGGGGCCTAGGTATTCCCGTGGCCAGCTCCTCGCCCCAGGTCCCCAGATCCGGTCCTGGGGGCCCCGGGGCCCGAACTCGGGGGCCCCAGAGGCCGCCAGGAAGGAGAGACGCGGAGATCGAAACACATCACATCGTCGGACATATGGGCCGAGTCGGAAATCTGCTGAGCCTGGTCGATCCAAGCCTGGGTCGGTCGGGCTTGACAGGCTCCTGCCAGCTCCTGCGGGAGCCTGCGGAAGCATGCACACGCAGGACCGGGTCAGTGCACACCCCTGGCTCCGCAGGATCTCCTGCAAGCTCGGGCGCTCTGACGGACCCCCGTTTGCAGGGATCCCCGGCCACTGAGCCCTGGCCGACAGCGGCGGTGCGCACAGGGGTGCAGGGGGAGGGGGGTAGGCTTCTTGGATGGAGGCTGCTTCTTAGAAGGCGCCAGCCATACATCTACAGACAAGGCCCGCACCTTCTAACAAGCAGGGGTGCTGCTAAGAAGCCTTCGCCCCTCCCCCTATCCCCCTCTGCGCGTAGTGACCTTTGGTGCGCGGACTAAGGGGGTGCAAGGTGGCCAAATCCAAGCGCGCAAGCAGCCGCGAAAGCATCGCGCTCAGCGATCGGGGGGCCCCGATGAGCCCGCACCGAAGGTCACTCTGGCGAAGGGTCACTCATACGTGTAGTCGACTGGAGCCGTGGCCGACACTGGGGCGTGGCTGCACGGTTTCCCCCGGGGCCGTAGGCGACCCGGGGAGGAGGAGGAGGAGGAGGAGGAGGAGGAGGAGGAGGAAGCGGAGGAGGAGGAGGAGGAGGAGGAGGAGAGGGAAGGAGGAGGAGGAGGAGGAGGAGGAGGAGGCGGAGGAGGAGGATGACGAGGATGAGGAGGACGGGTCGCCTCAGCCCTCTGGAGAAACCCGCCAACCCGAGCGGGGCCAGCTTCCTCGGGAAGAGGAACTCGTGGCGGATGGCGCGCCACATGACCTGCCCGCGGCCAGGCGGGGGCACGGCGGGCTCGGGGGAGTAGCGCGGGGCGCCCCGGGCGGGCCCCCGCTGTCGGCGGAGACCCCTTGCTATGCCTCGCAGTCAGGGGGTGCGGGCAAGCACGGCGGGGGTGCACGGGGCAAGGCACCGTTAGATGAGGACTGGGCGAAAATGAATGGGGCGGCGACACGTGGGGGGGCAGCGAGGGTTGCAGAAAAGGTACCTTTGGGTGTCCTCAACGCCCTTCAGGGCCCCGAACTGGGCCCTTGAAGGTCCGAACAATGCACCTCCCCCCCCCCTTTTGTCGCCATTCGCATCAAGTCGCGCCCAGGAGGAATCCAGGGTCTGGAATCTGGTGAACTCCCTTCCTCCTCTGTGATTCCCGCACTGTCATGTCTTGGCTACCGCACTGTGAGTTCCAGCGCCTGTCGCTGTCCGCCGCAATCGTTTCTGTGCGTTGGGAAGCCTGGGGCTCAGGGCTGAGCTTCCTCTCGCTGGGGAGGGTGGCTGTCGAAACAAGAGTACCCTCCTTGGCTCTCGGAAGCAGAGCCTTCAGCAAGACGACCCGCAGACTGCTACAATGCTCTCCTCTTCCTCTGATTGCTCTCTGACTGATCTCTGTTCTCCTCGTCATCTGATTGCCCGACTCCGATCCAACCTGCTCTTCCTCTGACTGCTCTCTAACTACCCGAGTTCGACCGACATCCTCTTCCTCTGGTTGCTCCCTGCTCTGGGCGGGGCGGAACGGGGTGGAGGCCTCCTCGAAGTAATCCCCCACGGGCTTCGGTTGGATACTGTTGGTTCAATCCTGCAGCCCTTCATTCGTTTCGGCTTGGGAGAACCGCTCTCGAAGGGGCAGGATCCATCGGCATCGCGTCGGGCAAGCGGGCCGAAGGGATGTGAGAGGAAGGGGCCCCTTCCTCTCACATATGCGAGAGGCAGGGGCAGAGGATCAGTCAGCATCGCGTCGGGCAATCGGGCCGAAGCGGCACGCGCGTCGGATCGGGCGGCACGGAGCCGGAATCGGATCGGACAGTCTCCGCCAGCATGCAGATTACCAGCCTGGAACATATCCCAATCCCTATGCTGGGCACCTCCTCATCACGATGTCAATCTTAGGGATTCCCTTATTTTTTGAGGGTGAATCCCTAAGATTGTCATCGCCTTTTGGCGTGTCAATCTTAGGGATAGGGATACGTTCGAGGCCGGTAAGCAGAACAACGCCGTGCAAACACCAATCTGCATCGGAGCGCCGGAACCAAAGACCGAAGCGGATCGGGCCGGCCAGAATCAGCATATCGAACTGCCTCGCTCTGGTCGAGGTGTGCCCCCAACTGGTTCCCATGAGTGGTGCTCCTCCTCCTCCTCCTCCTCCTCCTCCTCCTCCGCCTCCTCCTCCTCCTCCTCCTCCTCCTCCTCCTCCTCCTCCCCCTCTTCCTCCTCCTCCTCCTCCTCCTCCTCCTCCTCCTCCTCCTCCTCCTCCTCCTCCTCCTCCTCCCCGGGTCGCCTACGGTCCCGGGGGAAACCGTGCAGCCCCGCCCCAGTATCGGCCACGGCTCCAGTCGACTACACGTATGAGTGACCCTTCGCCCCTCGGGGCTCGCACCCCCTTTTTGTCAGGGGAAGCAGTATTGCTCAAAGCATGTGCTGTTGCCACCCAGCTACAACAGCAAAGGCTCCCTCCTAGAATACTCCCCCAACACCTACTCAGGCGCTGCGCTGTCGACGTCCAGGAATAGTAGGTCGCCATTCATGGGAGCTTGTTTGAAACGCTTAGGCGTTTGAGCTCGTTCCCTTTTTGGTTCCACGTTCGTTCCCTTTTGGTTCCACGTTCGTTCCACGGCGCTGCGCGTTGTCGCGACGGCGAGTTCATCGTCCTCCTCGCCATCTCCCGCGTGACCCCGCCACATGCGAGGGCGTGATTCCGAATCACGCCCTCGCACGAGGCTTCACCACAATTTGCTGAGGAAGCGTGCGCTCGCCTGCAGCTTCTTCGCACGAGAAATTCGCTTCCATGCCCCGCCCGCCCCGACCCACCCGTAAGAGTCCGCCTGCACGTCAGGGTCGGCCCCTTCGCCTGTTTGGAAGCCCGCCCGACCCGCCCAATATAGTTAGTCCGTCCGTTAGGGTCCGCCCACCCGCCCCGCCCGTTAGGGCTCGCCTGCCCGACCCGCCCGCTCGCTAGGGTCCGCCCGTTCGCTTGCCTGGAAGCCCTCAGGCTCGCTTTCATGTCCCGCCCGACCGACCCGCCCACTCGGGTCCTCCTCCTCCTCCTCCTCCTCCTCCTCCTCCTCCTCCTCCGCCTCCTCCTCCTCCTCCTCCTCCTCCTCCTCCTCCTCCTCCTCCTCCTCCTCCTCCCCCTCCTTCCTCCTCCTCCTCCTCCTCCTCCTCCTCCTCCTCCTCCTCCTCCTCCTCCTCCTCCTCCTCCTCCTCCCCACCTCCTCCTCCTCTCCTCCTCCTCCTCCTCCTCCTGGGTCCGTCCGCCCGACTCGCCCTTTGGGTCAACCCGCCCAGCTCGCCGCCCGGCTCGCCCAATTTGGTCCGCCTGCCCGACCCGCCATGGATGGACCGCCTGCCGCCGATCCTCCTGTGTCTCTGTCGTCCGCCTCCTGCTGAGTCTTCTTCGTCGTTAATCGTCCTAGATCCCTCTGGCCCCCATCCCCTCTCGTTGTCTCCCTGCTTCGCTCTCTGCCTCTCTCTCCCTCTCTCTCTCTCTCTCTTTCCCTCTCTCTCTCTCTATCTCTCTCTCTCTCTCTTTCTCTCTCTCTCTCTCTCTCTCTCTCTCTCTCTCTCTCTCTCTCTATATATATATAAAATATATATTCCTCCATTGTTCCCTTCTCCCGTGGATTCCTGTTCTAGGGGCCGCGCCAAAGCCACGTGGCAGGCAAAGAAGATAGACCCCAAAGGTAGTACGATCGAACACGAAGAGTGCGGGTATGGAGGGTGTGGGGGTATGCATGTTCTTCTACACGCGAACAACGAAGAGCGAACCGTATTTGAATGAGTGTTGCCGCAGTCTAGGGGGGGAACTGCGCAACTTTCAGCAGGAAGGCAACCCTGCACAGGACAGGAGTGAGAGCGTCCCCGGATCCGCTTGGATCGATAGAACGATGGGCACCAGGGCGGGGATCAGCAACAACCGCTCTCAGGAGGTGAGGGGTCGACAACTCATCCACTTCCTCCTGCTCCTGCTCCTGCTCGGCCTCCTCTTCCTCCTCCCCCTCCACGTCATACGCCTCTTCCGCCTCCTCCTGCGAATCCTCGTATGCTCTTACCCCTCCTGGCCCACATCCGCCTCACCCCTTCTGCGACCCGTGCGATGCGGACTGTGTCACCAGCATCACCATCATCATCAACATCATCAACCTTATCATCAGCATCGGCATCAGCATCAGCATCATCATCAGCACAACCATCCTCCTCCTCATCATCACAACCACAGTCACAAGCATCATCATCATCATCATCATCATCATCAGCAGCATCGCCATCATCATCAGTATCCTTATTATCATGATTATCATCAGAAGCATCATCATCACCATCACCACCACAACCTTCATCATCATCGTCACCATCATCATCCTCGTCATCACCATCACCATCATCATCCTTCACCTCCTTCTCCTCCTCCTCCTTCCGCAGCAGCAGCAGCTCCTCGCCCTCCGGCGTGCCAGCTTGTGCAACGGGTCGTCACGCAGCTGCAGGCGCTCCTCGAGGCCCCGGCCGTACGAGAACGGCCTCTCCATCTGGAGGACCTGCGCGTCCCCAGGCTTTGAGCGGACATGGTATGAGGGGCAGCGGCATGAAGAGACTGGCTCAGGCTGGGGAGCATCGACCTGGAATCGGCGCTACATCGCCCACAGATCGGCGCTTGGCCACCGCTCGCGAATCTGAACGTTGCTGGGCGGGCTGGGCTCTCGGGCCCCGATCGGCGATCAATGGGCAATTCGGGGTCGATGCAGGAGGAGGAGGCGGAGGAGGAAGAGGAGGAGGAGGAGGAGGAGGAGGACCCCCCCCCTGAGGGTATCCCCCCCTACTGTTGCCCCCGATGGTGAGGCTTCGGGCCGCGAGCAGCTAGCCCCCGCAGGCAGTCCTGGCTCACCTAAACAATGAAGGGGCCCTGGGACACATAAATAAATACACACAAATTACCGGATAACCAATATTTCCAATGTTTTTTCTGAGTTTCTATCTCCCCCCCCACTTCCCATATTTTCTCACATTTTCTGGGGAATCGACGATGAATTGTGTCTGCGTGCTTTTTCCCCTCCTGACACAGGCCCCCCCGAGCACCCTGGGGCGCTCTCAACACCCGGGCGCCAGCTCCAGCGGCGCACCTGGGGCGCCCCGCGCTCCAGGGCTGGGGCGCTGAGACCGCCCTGGGCTACTCGGGGGCCGGCTGAGGCCAGCGGGGACTGTCCTTCGGCCGGGCATGTCCCCCCCTAGACAGGCGGGGTTTGGACGAACAGTGAAAGCATGCCCCCCAAAAATGATCAAACAATTATCGACAAGTCGTCCACACCTGTAGAGGGACATGCCCGACTTAAGACCATCCGGTGGGGCTGTCTGTGCGCAGCCCGAGGCCTCACCACGGGCGGATATCCGCCACCGTGCCCTGCGGCACGAGCTCGAGCGTCCTCGGGTCCCCTCGAGTTTTCTGCACTGAGCTCCTTAGAAAAAATTCTTTGGGAGCCCGCAGCCCGGAGTTCGGGGCGCTTCTGAGGGCCCTTTGGCGCTCTCGCGCGCTCTCGGAGGGTCCCCGCGCGACTTCTCGAGAGGCCAAGAGCGCCTTCTTCGGAGCATGCATGTCCAACATGTTTCAGATACGGTGAAGGCATTGGATGAGGAACCCTTGGATAAGGAATCCGGTGTCTGGAAGCCTGTGGAGCTCCACTCGTGGAGTGGCCGTGGACATCACTGCCGCACTCATCAGATAAGGAACCCTTCAGGGTCTGAAGCCTCCTGGGCACATTCCTCCACGAATGCCTCCACCGTAGCCCCAGGGGCCGTCCTGGAGCCCTCTTGGGCGCATCTTGGGCCGTACTGGAGGCCCTGACAAAACCAAAATCGTCAAAATCCGCAGGTTTTCTGCATGGTCTTCGCGTTACCACCTTCTCGGTCTTCAGAGCGTCCAAGACGGCCCAAGAGGCGCCCACGATCGTCCCGAAACGGCCCAAGAGCCCCCAAGAGGGGCCGAAGAGGCCCCTAAGACGGCCCCAAGAAGGGCTCAAGATCGGGAACACGAACTGACATTTTGAGCCCTCCGCCCCAAGATGGTCCCCAGATCCCCTCATAACGTCCCGAGGTGCGCCCAAGAGGCCCCAAGAGGCCCCCAGGAGGGCCTGAGGGGCCCAAATCAGGTCCCAAGAGGCACCCAAGACGCCCCAAAACATTCCAAAACCGCCTCCAAGAGGCATCCGAGAGGCATCCCAAGAAATCCTTACAGGCATCCAAGAGGCTTCTGACCTACAACCCAGCCACGCCGCCCCCTGTTGATTCATCATAGGGGTGCCTGAAGTGCTAGACCCCACTGCATTGGTTCTGGTTCTTTTTCTAAGAGAATTCTCCCCTGGGCCTCTGGTCCGTGCCGCCTTCCTCCCGGAAAAGGTGATCGCCGTGCCTCCCCATCGGCCGTCCCGCTAGGGACATCAAGAAATCGCGATCTTGGGGTCCTGATGGCCCAATATGGCCCCCAAGATGGCCGAAGAGGGTCCAAGGTGTCTCCGCGTTCGCCCAAGAAGCCTCCAAGATGGCCCAAGGCGTCCAAAGAGGCCCCCAAGAGGCCTCCAAGACAGCCCCTGGGCCCCCAGGAGGACCACCAGAAGGGCCCGAAAAAGACCAAATCCTTGATGTTCCGCCGGTGTTTGAAGGATTTGGGCATCTGCTTCTTGTCGCCGAGCTGAGGCCCTGGTCCTCGCTGATGGGCCTGTTTTCCACCGCCACCACCATCAGTTAGAGGGGGGGAGGAGGTGGAGGACGAGGAGGAGGAGGAGGAAGAGGAGGAGGACCCCCTCCCCCTCCAACTTACGGTGGTGGTGGTGGTGGAAAACAGCCCCTTCACTCGCTGCTCGCCGCGGATATGAAAAACAGCCGCTCTCCACAGACAGGCTGAGGCTGCGCGGGAGGCGCGCCGCCGGGTGCTGGAGGCCCCGGGCGCCTCTCGGCCGCCCCCGCTCGCCCCCCCGCCTTGGCGGCGCGCACAAGGGATAAACAATAAGAATTGTGTTAAAAAGAATAACAACACCAATGCGAATAATACTCATGCGAATAAGAATAATAATAATAATAATCGTAATACTAATCATACTAATAATAATAATAATAATAATCATACTAATAATAATAATAGCAACAAAACAATCATAACAACAACAATAATTTTAAGATTGATCGCTCTTATATACGCGCGTGTCATTCAACATGCATATCCCAAACCCTGGATACCTGCCCTATTCGTCTTCGATCGTACCCCCTTTGGGAGGGTATAATCATTTCCTGCCACGCGTGGTTGGTGAAACCCTTGAAAACGAAGGGTAACAGCTGACGGGGGGAATGAGGACGAAAGGATCGGAGGAAGTGAGGGGAAGGGCAAGAAAGAGGAAGGACGATGATTTGCGCTGTGGGTAGCGATTCAGCTTGCGCCATGACTTGCGCCAGCCACTCCAACACAGGTTAACAATAGGTTTCGCCATGGGTCGCGCCGTAGACAGAGCCACGCACCACCCATTTTTCAACAAAAAAAAAAAAAAAACGTGGATACCCCCACGGGGGGACGTACAGCTGCGAACTGGTGTCAGAAACAAATTTCGTGGAACCCTGAAAAGAAACGGGATATTGGGAGATTCGTGCGGAAAGATAATGGGAATTGCAACCGTGTCGAGAGGAGCGCGGGGATGTGGAGTGGATTGGGATGGAAAGGACAAGAGTAGGGTATCAGGAGGAGGAGCGGCAAGGAGTGGAGAAGAGGATTTGGGAGAAATGCGGAATGCGAGCGGGAAGGGGTGGAGATTGTTGGGGTGAGATGGAGTGGTCTGGGGAGGAGTGGGCGGAATGCGAAATACTGAAGAATAGCACAATGGAGTACGAACGACATGAAAATGGTGAGAAAAAGGAAAGATTAGAGAAGACTGGGAAAGAACGTTGACAAAAAGGGGGCAGGTGGATACGAGCGGAGACAGGTGCGGAAACAAGGCGCGGGGGGATTGGCAGGCACCCGAAAGCCTCCTATGACCTCTGGGGGGCCTCGGACTGGCCCCGTTGAGCCGCCAGGCAATCTGTAGCGGGAGCGCGATTTCTGAGTGTCGAGGAGCGGCATCTGAATACATTGTGAGGAAGTATCAGGCGGGAGCCGCGAATCGGTGGTAAGTTGCGAGGAAGTCCCAAGAGAGAGCACGATTCTTCAATAAATTGTGAGGAAGTATCAGGCGGGAGCCGTTGTTGTTGTTGTTGTTGTTGTTGTTGTTGTAACCCGGTGGCCAACAACGCAGTTTGACCCTCAAGACTTTCCCTGATAAGAAACAGGGTGCGAGCCCCGGGAAGGGCACTTCAATCGAACACAATGTGCACCGGACGGGGGGATCAACAATAATTGTTCTTTAGAAGTGAAAGTTCAACAACAACAACAACAACAACAACAACAACAACAACAACAACAACAACAACAACAACAATCATTTTACCCGAACGCTCAGTGTTCTCCCCAGTGCCAGGGTTTTCATGCGACGCCAGCCAATACCCCCACTTCGTGGGGGGGCAATGCAAGCTCTACCAAACATCCACACGACTCTCGGGAACCACCCACACCCAGCTTCCCGCCCTATGACGTCAGGACACTTCACTTCGTGGCGCGCGGACGATCGTGGATACTACACTGGCGTGGAGTACACACCCGCAGAGGTTGATCACTTGTTTGGGCCCCGCAACGTTTTATTCTCGGCGGCCGAGGGCGCAACCTATGACGCAACCAATAGGGGGGCGTTTTATTCTCGGCGGCCGAGGGCGCAACATATGGCGCAACCGCAAGGGATTCTGGCCCCTGGCAGGCGCGCGAACCCCGTTGCAAGAGCGTGCGAAAGTAGCTCGCGCGAGCTCATGTAACATAAATGTTGGAAAACCATTGGTTTTTTTAGGATTCGGACAGCGCGCGCGGGTGGAAATTTTGAAAAGTCGTGCAGGTGTTTTTCGAGGACCTACGGTGCGATTCGTGTGATTTTATGATGCGCGGTGCTAAAATTCTTAAAAACCCAATGGTTTTTGGAGATTTCGGCGTGCGCGCGCGAAGAAAAAACGAATGTGTCCCGCATGGTATTATTTGACAGGGATGATGGCCCTGGCAGGTGCGCAACCGTTGTCGCAGAAGTTCGAAAAAGTTGCTCGCAAAAGCCCGTTTGACAGAATTGTTTAAAAAGTGTTGGTTTTCCTACGAATCCGCAAGAGCGCGCGGAAGGACATTTTGACAATTTTTTCTTAAAAAACCATTGGGTTTTTGATGTTTTTATGTTAAAATCGTTACGAAACCTAAGGTTTTGGAAGGATTTCGTCTTGCGCGCACGAATGTCCACTTTACCTTATTTTTTGCAAGGGATTCTTGCAATTTGATCAAGTAAGAACAAGAATTTTCATTTTATAGTGTTTTTTGCAAGGGAAAACGGATTACAACAAAACAACCGGATCCGGACACAATCCACTTTTCTGAAGCTTTCGCTAGAAAATGAAGGAAATGAGGCTGCGGCCTAGGTTTTGGAGGGGGGTCGCGCACCAGGGGTCTCAACAATAATATTTCTTTAGAAGTAATAATGTTCAACAACAACAACAACAACAACAACAACTGTGATATAGCAGCTCTGTTTCATCACTGTTTTTTGATCGCACGTTGCTATCACTGCTGTTAATCACAAAGTTATGTATCATACTTGTTCGGAGCGGGGAAGGTTTCTCAGAAGGAGGCTGCTTCTGAGAAAAGCAGCGGTGCCTCTCAGGAGCCTTCCCCCCTGCCCCTACCCCCCCCTTCTGCGCGTGGCCGACCGCAGCCGCGGCGAGAGGCATGCGGTCAGGGCCCCGTGGACCCGGACACGCTAGACCAGAACGTAGAACATCCCTCGAAGCAATGTGTCACGGCATGCGGCACGAGAACCCAAACTGCACTGAAACACTCTCGGAAGGATCGTGGGGAACGAAAGGGGGGGATAGCAAAGGGTAGGGTAGAGAAGCAGTTCACGTAGCTGATTTTCCCAGCGCCTCCCGGCGCTGGGATGCGCCCATGTATCGAGGAATGGGCCCGGCGGCGGGGCCGAAACCAGCTGCGTGCAGCAGATTTCGTAACCCCCCCTTTCCCTATCCCCCCCTTTCGCTCGGCCCGAAAAAACTGCACTGCAACGCTCCCGGAAGGAACCCGGGCACAAGCCCTCCAAGCTGGCACAATCCCAGACACAAAGACCAGGAAACCTGCAGAAACGGCACCGGACGACCAGGCCCGACTCTGCAGGAGAGGGTGTCGTTTCCCCGACTTGCCAATGCCCTGGTCAGTCTGTGTCGCGGGCTCTGGGGGCCTGAATGCGGGGCCAGAGAGCCGACTCTGGAAGCTCTGAGTCCAACTAACGGCCGGACGTACCACCCTCGTGAAAATTGGCCTCAAGCATGTCTCACCCGGCTGACCTTGTGTACGGGAGGACGTTTGCGTGAGCAGCGATGAGCGCGAGGTACTCGTATGCGCCACCCCTCCAATGTCGGTCATCATCGAACTTCCGATTCGCTCCCAGTCAGGCCACCTTTACCCTGGCCCCGACATTGGAGGGGCGCCGTACCCACATTGAAGGGCACGCCGACCTCGAGGGGGCATGTCCGCCATTTGTGAGGTTCGTTTTGACGAGGGTAGTAGGACAGAATTACGCTACCGAGGAACCCCACATACTTATATCATGGCTGGAGTGATGATAGCTGAAGTGAAGCATGCGAGGATGATGTTGGTGGCCGTTGCCCCGACGATACCGTTGGTGACGCCACTCAAGAGGAGAGGTGGAAGAGGAGAAGCGCCGCGCCAGCCACACTTTGCGAGCCCGGTGACCTGGACGACCGGCGGGCATAGCGGCCGCGGTGAGGGACCACCCTCTGCGCACCCCGTCTGGCGTCGAGAAAGCGCCACGCTTGCTATGCCCTGGACAACCGTCGTGCATAGTGGCCGCGGTGAGGGACCAACCCTTGCGCACCCTCTATGGTGTCGGCCGCGCTCAGGGAACACCTCCTGCGCACCCCCTGTGGTGTCGAGGAAGTGCCACGCCTGCCACGCTTTGCGAGGCCGCAACGGATAGGGAGACCACCCCCAGCGCATCCCCTGTGGTGTCGAGGAAGTGCCACGCCTGCCACGCTTTGCGAGGCCGCAACGGATAGGGAGACCACCCCCAGCGCATCCCCTGTGGTGTCGAGGAAGTGCCACGCCTGCCACGCTTTGCGAGGCCGCAACGGATAGGGAGACCACCCCCAGCGCACCCCCTGTGGTGTCGAGAAAGTAACCAGAAGCAGTGCTGTGCTGTGCTGTGTGCTGCTGTGCGGTGAGCTGTGCTGTGCTGTGCTGCGGTGAGCTGTGCTGTGCTGTGCTGTGCTGTGCTGTGCTGTGCTGTGCTGTGCTGTGCTGTGCTGAGCTGAGCTGAGCTGCGCTAACCTGTGCCGTGCTGAGCTGAGCTGAGCTGAGCTGTGCTGAGCAGTGCTGTGAGGAGGAGGGGGAGGGGGAGGTGTGTCAGAGAGAGAGAGAGAGAGACGGAGAGGGTGGTGTGCGGGTGAGACGCGGGTGCGGCGCGGAAGGGAAGAAAACCAGAACCCCACGATGCATGTGGGGAATAATCTCCCTCAAGAACAGGAGACCCTCCTCCGGTCAAGCTGAAAAACATTCGAGAGTACCCTCCCCCAGGATGCACAAGAGCGTCCAACAAGCACGAAGAGCATTAGGGTGCCCTACCCGAACCGACCTCGATCTCAGACCTCGGTCTGACCGTACCAGAGACACACAATCACCACTTTCGCCATTACCACTACCACCATCACCACTGTAGTCCCCGACATCGTCAGAAACATCATCACAATCAGCATCGTCAATCTCATCGCCATCATCCCCATCACCACCACAATCACCACGAGCGCCTTCGTCGGCATCCTCCTCGTACTCCTCCCAATGATTCCCGTCCCCCGCCTGCTGTCCAATCCTCCATGTATGTACTCATGCCCGTCTTTCCACCCCCTCCTCGTTCCCCCTCCCTGACTCTCCCATGCCCCTCCCCCTGGATGGAACCATTCCGCGTGGTGCGCTTGAGTCAGTCTTCAGCGAGAGGTACCCTCGGTCCAGCAGCTTCGACTCGAGGGTGTCGGGCGAGGTCCCGAAGGCGCGCGTCTGGCAGTGGCGACACGAGGAACAGCGCACGGACACGCATACGCACACGCGCATACGCACAGACACACAACCACTCGCACCATTGTATTGCCACGAACCCCGACCTTGGAGTAAAAGTGGGCGTGACTTGCGAGAAAGAGAACAGCAAACAAGAGGATGCCTAGGTATGGAGCGCATTAACGTCGGTTCCCGTGGTGTTCGTTTGACGCTGTGACGCTTTGTCTGGGCGTGTCTCTAGCCATCCTGGGGCCCTCTTGGGCAATATTGTGGCCCTCTTGGACGCCTCTTGGGCCTGTCCTGGGGGCCTCTGGGGGCTGTCTGGGGGCCTCTTGGACGCTACTCGCAGTGGCCCCCTTGGACCGTCTTGCGGACCATCTTGGGGCCGTCCGGGCTGCCTGGAGACGCGTCTGCCGAAATGGGGCCGACAGCGGCCGACTTCTGCCGGCTTCTGCCGGCGTTCCGTCCGTGGCCGGGGCCAAATCCCGCGGGGTCCCCCCCCCCAGACCCCCCCAGGGGAGCACTAAACGGGAACCCATCAAGGTAGGGGAAACATGGGTGTCCCCAAGGATTTGTTGAATGATTTGTGCATTCACGGTTCTTCGGTCTTCAGGGCGTCCGAGACCACCAAAGAGGCCCCGGAAATCGTCCCAGCATTGCCCGAAGAGAGCCCCGTAAAGGCCCAAGATGGCCCCAAGACGACCCCCGGAGCACTTGAAATCGTGACGCGGTCGTTGAGGGAGACCGAACCAGGTTTCTCAGCAACGTGACCCGAGGAAGCCCAAGAGGCCCCTAAAAGGCACCCAAAAGGCACCCAGGAGGCACCCAGGAGGCCCCCAGGAAGCCCCCGAAAAGCTTTACCAAGGAGGCCCCTTCGAAACAAAACTGAGGAAGACAGAAAATGGTTTGCAGGGGAAGGCGAGAACGAGGAAGAATAATGTGAAGCCTGAGGGTCGGAGAAGGAAACACATATCAAAGCGACGACGAAAACGGAAACAATGCGGAAACGCTGTTTTAGATGTTGACCTCTCTCTCATTCCGCCCGCAAGTCCAAATTGAAGAACCCAGGTGCATGGCGCAAGCGCCAATGGAGTCTTCTGTATACATGTACCTATACGACCACCCTGCGGGTGATAAGGAGGTGAGGGGGGAGGGGGAACCAACGTCTCACTCAATCGATCTCGCTATCGATCTCACAATCGATCTCACATTCGATCTCACTATCGATATCACTATCGATCTCGCTATCGATCTCACTATCGATCTCACAATCGATCTCACAATCGATCTCACATTCGGTCTCACATTCGGTCTCACATTCGGTCTCACTGTCGATCTCACAATCGATCTCACTGTCGATCTCACATTCGGTCTCACATTCGGTCTCACTATCGATTTCACTATCGATCTCACAATCAATCTCACAATCAATCTCACATTCGGTTTCACAATCGATCTCACTATCGATCTCACAATCGATCTCACTGTCGATCTCACAATCGATCTCACATTCGGTCTCACTATCGATATCACAATCGATCTCTCATCATCGTCATCATCATCATCATCATCATCATCATCATCATCATCATCATCATCATCATCATCATCATCATCATCATCATCAGCATCATCATCATCATCATCATCATCATCATCATCATCATCATCATCATCATCATCATCATCATCATCATCATACCGACGGGACACCGGCGGGACACCGGCGGGACACCGCGCACCGCACTTGCCGCCCGGAAGGGAATCATTTCGTCCGGCCGCGCCTCAGCCACACGGGACACCAGCGGGACACCGGCGGGACACCGCGGGGCCCCGGCCGCCCAGAAGGGAATCATTTGGTCCGGCCGCGCCTCAGCCACACGGGACACCAGCGGGACACTGGCGGGACACCGCGGGGCCCCGGCCGCCCGGAAGGGAAACATTTGGTCCGGCCGCGCCTCAGCCACAGGAGACTTTCTCTCGCCCGCCCACGCAGCTTCGCCTCGCCCGCACGGCACGCACGAACACGAAACCGAAATCGATTTCCCGGTAGGGGGGCTCTCCGTTCCACTTCGATCTCACCCCCTCACCTCCGACATGGAACTAACTCTGCACACACGTGAATGTATACTCCAAATCGCTAAGGTCCCCGGTGGCACGAGTTCGAGTGTCCTCAAGTCCTTCCGACATGAAGTCCTCAGTCCTGGAACCTGAATCGAAGACGCCTGCGGCGAATCACCGCCGCCCCCTGCCCGTTCGGAAGCGCCTATGTGGCCGAACGTTGTGGCCAGAGGCCTGCCAAGCTATCGGACCATGTGTTCCCCGAATCGGTTTGGAAAGCGTTCGGGGAACACGGTGGGGGGAGGAGGAAGGGGAGGAGAGGGAGGAAGAAGGAGAAGGGAAGAGTAAGCCTCTTGTGAGGCTCTTGGGCTACTCTAGGGTTCTATTGGGCCATCTTGACCGTCATGGAGGCCATCGAGGGCGTCTTGGGGGCATCTTGGGCCGTCTTAGGGGCCCTCTTGGGGCCGTCTTGGGGGCCTCTTGGGCCGTCACGGGGCCATCTTGGAGGCCTCTTGGGCGATCTTGGGGCGACCTTGGGGGCCTCTTGGCCCGTCGGAAAACCGAAAAGGCGCAAATGCCAAAGTGCTTCAAAAACCAATGGAAAATCAATGATTTTGGCCTCTTCGGGCCTTCCTGGAGGGCCTCTTGGGCCATCTTGGAGGCCTCTGGGGGGCCTCTTGGGCCCATCTAAGGCCGTCTTGGGTGCATCTTGGGCCGCCTTGGAGGCATCTTGGGGCCATCTTAGCCGTCTTGGAGGCCATCTCAGCCGTCTTGGAGGCATCTTGGAGGCAATCTTGGGCCATCTTGGCCGTCATGGAGGCCATCTTGGGCGTCTTGGGGGCCTCTTCGGCCATCTTGGGGCCCTCATGTGGCCGTCTTGGGGGCCTCCTGGGCCGTCATGGGGCCATCTTGGAGGCCTCTTGGGCGAACTTGGGGCGACCTTGGGGGCCTCTTGGGCGTCTTGGGCCGTCGGAAAGCCGACAAGGCGCAAATGCCCCAATCCGTTGTTTGATACACATACCTATATATATATATATATATATATATATGTACACACTTTTATATATATATATACATACATACATACATACATACATACATACATACATAAATTCACACACATACATACATACACACATACATATATATATATATATATATATATATATATATTATAATGGTACTACTTGCGATGCTGATACTACGATTGTAATGAAAACAGAAAAATGATAGAACCACAATGCCGACACGAATGATCATAATCATAATAAGAAGAACAATCATACTACTAATATAAGTAAATAATAAGCATAGGACAACAACAACAACAATAGCAATAGTCATACTAATACTAATAATACGAATACTAAGACTAAGACTACAATAATACCACGATAATAATAAGAATGATGATGACAGAAATAAACACAATCATAATGATAATAATAGTATTAAGAATAATAATAGTCATAATAATGATAGCAATAATAATAAAGAATGATGCTAATACTAATCATAATAATAATACTAATAAAAATAATAATAACAATAAGTTTGGCCTCTTCGGGCCCTCCTGGAGGACCTCTTGGGCCGTATGGGAGGCCTCTTGGGGGCCTCTGGGGCAGTCTTGGGCCATCTTCATGCTATCTTGGCTCGTCTTGGAAGCATCTTGGAGCCATCTTAGCCGTCTTGGAGGCCATCTTGGCCGTCTTGGATGCATCGTGGAAGCCATATTGGGCCGTCTTGGAGCCATCTGGAGAGAAAAATCCTTGGCAACCGGGTCCGGGCAATCCTCCTGGAACCCCGGCGGGACGGGCCGAAGCCCCAGGGGGAGTTCTTTTGGGAAAAAGAGCCAAAACCAAAACCGAAATAGTCTAGCACGCCAGGCACCCCTGCGATGAATCAACAGGGGGCGGCGGACATCACATGGCGTTCGGCCCATCCCGCCACCGTGCCTTGGTTGTGGGGCAGAGACCTCATGGACACTAGAATGATCTATTTGGCCTCCCCGCGGGCCCCTCGGAGGACTCTCGGGCGCCTTTTGGGAGGCTCCTTGGCAGCCTCTTGGAACCCCATGGGGGCCTCCTGGAGGCCTTCTGGGGCTCTGCGGAGATGCTCGCGCCGCGTTAGGGTGGAGGGCTCGATGTCGGTTCGTGCTCCCCCCCCTGGGCCCCACTTGAGACCGCTTCGCAAGCCTCTCTAACTCGTCTTAGGGGCCTCTATGACATTATCGGGGCCCTCTTGGGGCGTCCTAGGCCGCCACAAATTGGTACTTGGTGGTCCAAGGCCGTCTTGGAACGTCGGAAGCTCAACAAGGTGGGGGCGCTAAATTCTACAAAAAACAGAAACATCAATTCACGGTTGCTTCTTGAGGACCTCTTCTAGGATCTCTTGGGGCCCTCTCGGAGCGTCATGTGGACCCCCAAATCACCCCAAGACAACCCAAAAAAGGTTCCCAAGAGAGTCCCTAAGACGGCCCAGTGGGTCCCCTAAACACAGTCGCTGGCCTGAGAATTGTCCCTACGGGGGGGTCAGCAATCAGGGGGGCCCCTCCCCCCTCCTAGAGAATCCCCCGAGGGTCCGGACCCCACCCCCCCCAAGGGAAGAACGTCGGGGGTCCAGAACACCCCCCCTCTCTCCTGGAGAAAATCACCCGCGGGGTCCACAGCCCCCCCTCCCCCGGAAATTATTCGAGGGGATCGAGACCCCGACCCCCCGAGCAACGACGACGACGACGACGACGACGACGACGACGACGACGACGGAGGCGACGACGGCGACGACGACAACGGCGGCGACGACGACGACGACAGCGGCGGCCGCGACGCAACTGTCACCAGCCCCCGCGCTGGCTCTGATAGAATGCTACTGCAAGCCTCGTCAAACATGTTGAAACGCTGTTCTAAATCGAAGCGCTCGGTAGTTCGGACACTTGTCAGAAAACGCGTTCTTCAATGCTGTGAGTGTGCTGCCAGATGTCGGACACCCCTGCGTCTGGCCACGCGGACCACGTAAGCACCGAAAACAAAAGCCGTCAAGTTCTGTTTGACAAGGCTTGTAGGGTTCGATCCAGCTCTCTCAGTATGCTGCTCGAGTCCTACTGTACTCTACCCTACCCCACTCTTTCCTACTCTACTCTGCCCAACCTTCCTCTACTCTACTCTACTTTTCCCTTGTCCGCTCTACCCTACTCTATGCTAGTCTACCGTAAACTAGCATACCATACTCTACTCCAACTTGCTCTTACTCTACTCTACTCTATCCCTTCCCTAGCTTACTCTACTCTACTATACTACAATGTGCCCTACTCTACTCTACTCTACAGTGTTCGCTGTTACTCCACTTGACTCGACTCTACTCTACTCTGCCCTACTCCCACTCTACCCTACTCTTCCCGACCGCACCCTAACATAATTACTCTGCTCCATTCTGATGTGCTCCAACTCTACTCTCCTCCTACTCAACTCTATTCTACTTTGCTCCACTCTACTATGCTCAATTATGCTCTACTCTACCCGCTACTCTTCTCTACTCGACTCTACTCCAGTCGACACTGATCTGACGACCCCTACTCTACTCTACTCCACCCTACCGTGCTACTATCTCACCCTACTCTACTCTACTCGACTATCTCGACTCTATTCTACTCCTACTATACTCTACCCTACGCCTACTCTACTCTGCTCATCGTCGTCGTCTTCTTCGTCTTCGTCTTCGTCGTCGTTGTCGTCGTCGTTGACGTGTCTGTCGTGGTCGTGGTCGTCGTGGTCGTATTGCGTCGTGCGTCGTGCGTCGTGCGTCGTCGTCGTCGTCGTTGCCGGGGGGGTAGGGGGTGGGGCTTCTGGACCCCCCCTGAATAAGTTGTCCCAGGGAGGTGTTCTGGACCCCCAGGTACTTTTCCGCGGGAGAATGTGGGGGGTTCTGGAACCCGCCGAATAATGTTCCCAGGGGGGCGGGGGTTGAATTCCCCCGCTGCCAGCAGCGGCAGAAAGCGCTCTTTCAGACGGCGACGGCCACCGAAGGCCCCAGACGGTCCCAAAAGCGCGCTAAGGTGACTCCAGAGGGCCACAAGATGGCCCAAGAGGGCCCCAATGGACCCCCAAGGAGACCCAAGCCCATGTTGTTCCGCCCCGCCTCTGGCTTCACAAGGCCCTGGTCCCGCCAGGCGAAGCGTCTGTAGCATGTTGCATGGGTCTGTGCCTCAGCCGCCCCGAATGTTCCCCAAACGGTATGAGCAACCCTTCGGTGATCAGGCTCACCGTAGCTTCGACGCAACGGCACGCCTTCCCAGTGGTGCCCCAACGACTGTGGCAACGCGCAGCGCACTAGGCTCCAAGCGGGCCCCAAGAGATCGTAGAAGAGGCCCTAAAAAGGCAACCGTGGTGTGCACGGCTTCCCCCGGAGCCGTAGGCGACCCGACGATGAGGAGGAGGAGGAGGAGGAGGAGGAGGAGGAGGAGGAGAAGGGAGAGGAGAGGGAGGGGGAGGAGAAGATGGAGGAGGAGATGGAGGAGGAGGAGGAGGAAAAGGAAGAAGAGGAGGAGGAGGTGGAGGAGTCATTCGCCAAGCATATCCATATCAGTGCAACATACAAGGCATTCGTTGTACACCCGCCCCAGGTTCGCCTGGCAACGGCTATGCCGCGCCAGGGTCGCCGAGAAGCAGTTGACTGGGAAACTTCCTTTGGTCTCCTTTCTGGTCTAGGACTGAGTATGCCCACTCTTTCGGGCACCCCTGGTCCAGTCCGTCTCCAGCGTTTCGGCGTGTGGTTGGCTATCCTCTTCAGGACCTGCCACAACCAATCACACGGGGCAGGCCGACGCTGTCACGAACGACACCTCTGTTTCCGACTGCGCGAAAACACCACGCGCACCTCTTGAATGCAAAGATAGACTGTGTCTGGTTGTATTCTGGGACTCCTCTGTACACACCAAAATTGCAAGAAGATGTCAAGCCAGGCTCTGAGAACCTGCTGTTTGACCTTCAAAGAGGGGAGGAAACAACTGGAGGAGGAGGAGGAGGAGGAGGAGGAGGAGGGAGGAGGAGGAGGAGGAGGAAGGAGGAGGAGGAGGAGGAGGAGAGGGACGGGTCGCCTAAGCCCTTCGGAGAAGCCCTCCACCGTGGTGCCCCAACGACTGTGGCAACGCGCAGTCCACCAGCATGTCTTGGACTTTGGGCCGGCAGTTCACCGCACGAGCGTCCCCAAAAAGGCCGGGGTGGCCGCGGTGGCTCGCCACAGAGGGGCGTCTTTGAGAGCTCCCGCCGTGGACCTCCAGGGCCCCCTGGAAAGTGGGAGGGGGGAGGGAGCGCGGGAGCGAGAGTGGCAGGGAGGGGCGGGAGGGGGGGGGGATGTGAAGGGAAGGCGGGGGCGGGGAGCCGAGGCAGGGGAACAAAGAGAGACATACACATGACAACTCGGAGGTTCGCGCGGAGTTCTCGGATCGGCGCTGGCCCCCCCTCCATGGCGCGCGGAGCGCGCCAGGGGCGGCGCCGGAGGCGCCGCCGGGGGGCCCCAGCGCCGATCCGAGAAATCCGCGCGGACCTCCGAGTTGTTATGTTTATGCCACTTTTTGTGCCCCTGCGAGAGAGGAGGGCTGGGGGGAGAGGGGGGGAGAGGCGCTCGAGGAGAGACGGAGGGAGATCATGCGCCTTCGCCCAGAAGAGACAGACAGACCCCCGTCCGCGAGCGCTGCGGAACACCGCAGCCGAGCCGCGCCGCAGCGCGGAACGAGGGGAGGAGGCGCCAAGCGGCGCCGCCGCGAGGGGCACTATACACGATCCCGCGGGCGGCACTCGAGGCCAGACAGTGGAGCGACGGAAAGGAACGGGTCGTGCACGAGATGCCACGGCGACATTGCGAGGTGGCGATTTATCCAGGTCCACCGCCTGGGAACCGACGTCGTGGTGTCCCAGCGGGCGGTGGACATGGATATATGTTGGCCCCAGGGGCCCGAAGATATCCATATCCACCGACTCCCGAGGTCCCCGAAAAATGATCCTCTGGGCGGTGGTCATGTATAGATTCCCGCCTCGGAGACCTTCCGGCGCAGCTTACGCGGGCCGCCAGCGCGGCTAGCTACAGTGGAGACGAGGGCGCTTACGCGCGACCTTACGCGGTCAGTTTACGCGCGAATGTCGGCGCAACCGAACCCGTTTTTTGCGTCGCTCCGTTGGCGGCGCCCAGAAGGGGGTTGGCGTAAAGGGGTCGGCCTCCCGTCTTTGAAAACCGCTGAGGCCTTCGCAGAAGGCCCCTGCGCTCTGAAAAGCCCCCCGCCTTCTCAGGAGCTCCCCTCCCTCGGCGCCACCTCCTTGCGGGCGCCTCCAAGAAAAGAGGCCAGGGAGCCGAGAAGAGGCGAGCTGAGAGCATCCACAGTGCAAGTCGTTGCCAAAATGCGCTGGTCGCGGCTCAAAGAGTACAGCGTCTGTCCTGCACAAGCAGCAGGCGCGTGGCCACTGTGGCACAGAAAGCTGCGAAAACTATTGCCCTGGTGAAAACTGGATGGCAAGAAGCGGATGGAACAGAAACCAAATGGTGCGGAGAGCTCGAAAGGGCAGCACGGGAAGCAGGAAGGCCGCGCGGCCGCCCACTCATCGGCGGCGAGCGAGGGGGGGGGAAGTGAGAAGGAGAAGGCCTTCCCGGAAGGCTCGGAAGTCCCCTGGCCTCCTGAGAAGTGTTCTGAGCCTTCCCCGAAGACAAAAAAACACTTCTCAGAAGTCGCGAGGGCGTCTGAGAAGTCCCGCCGCCTTCCGAGAAGGCCTCCTCCTTCTCATTTCCCCCCCTTCGCTCGCTGCCGAATTCACCATCGCTCCTCTCGAGCAGCGCTTCGGCCTGCTGCGAGCGCTCAGGGGGAGCCTCGCCCGCGCTGACGCGGCGGGGGCGGCGCGGGCGCCACCCTCACGCGTGCGCCCGCCCCAGCAGCAGGCGCAGGGCGCCGGACCAGCACTGGCAGGCTGCCCTCTGCTTGCCCTCTCTCCTGGACACCGTGCTGACGATGGCATCCCGCACGTCGTCCTGAGAGTTCGGCAGTACCTCGAAGCGGGTGGGAGCGTTCTGCACCCGCGCCAGCCCAGGGGGCAGCACGGTGGTCCTGCCGGTCGCCTTCGAGGAGGGACCAGCGGCAGAAACATACACTTTAGGAGGTCCGCGCAGATTCCTGGGGTGGGCGCTGGAAGCCCACCCCTTGCGTGCGGAGCGCGCCAGGGACGGCGCCAGAGGCGTCGCCAGTGGGGTACAGCGCACACCCAAGAAATCCACGCAGAGCTCTGGAACCTTGTGATTATAATGTGTTGATTATTCTTCGACGCCTGCGAGACGGCCTCGCCAAACTTTCCGGGGTGCGCGGTGCCCAGGACGACCATCTCGTGCTTCTCAAGGCTCTCCCAGCCGAGGCTGCCGCGGAGCTGGTCGCAGGCCGAAACTCCGCAGGCAGTGTGGGGGTCTAGCACGTAATTGAACTTGTCGTCGTAGGCCCGGATGGTTTCAATGACCACCTCCTCCTGGGCGCAGCCAGAGGAGAAGTCCTGGCGGGCCCGGGAAAGCTCCTGCTTGTCCACCTGCAGCTTGCCCGTCTGATTGAAGGCCATCATGGCAGCTGCCAGTTTGGCGGGGTCCTCGCCCATCAAGTAATAGAGATACCTCTCGAAGTTGCTGCTGATGCCGATGTCCATCGAAGGCGTGTTCGTTTGGATGACAGCATACTTCTCGTACGTACCTGACTGGAAAAATCGGTGGAGGATGTCGTTCGAGTTAGTGGCAATGACCAGGTGCTTCACTGGCAACCCCATCCTCTTAGCGTAATAGCCAGCCAAAATGTCGCCGAAATTCCCAGTGGGAACACTGAAGCTGATACTACCATCGCAGCCTGGGAAGAGCCGGA